CTACTCTACAATCATGAGTAACTTTTAGAGTCTCTGCTGACACCCACACTGATCTTTTTTTTTTTAATGACCTTTTGCTTTCTTCACAAATGACCTTCCTGATGTCCTACTACTGCTCATCAGGTCTTTTTCCGTTACTGTTCCTTCAATGCATCACATCTGTTCTTGAGATGTTCTTGAAATTCCGGTGGGTTAGACTCAAGGTTGTATTTTGGCTGTCCTGGACTTGTTTACTTTTCTTGAGCTTCAACTTGAATTTACATAGGAGCAATTGATGGTCTGTTCCATCGTCAGTCCTGGCTTTAACTGCTGACAGAGAGGTCCTCCATCATCTCTTCAGAAAAATGTAGTCAATTAGATTTCTGTGCATTCTCTCTCAAGAAATCCTTTCATGTTTTTAAAAAAGGTATTTGTGATAAGGAATTCATTGGTCTTGCAAAATTCTATCATGTAATCTCCAACTCCATTTCTATCACCAAGTTTATGTTTACCAATGACTATTCTTTCTTCTTTCTTTCCAACTTTTGCATTTCAATGGTTAATAATTATCCATGCAACTTGATTGCATGTTTGATCAATTTCAGACTGAAGAGGTTCATAACATTTTCAATTTCTGCAACACTAACGTTAGTGGTTGGTACAGAAATTTGAATAATAGTTCTATTGATTAGATTTTCATGTATGTAGACAGATAACACCCTATCATGGACAGCATTATACATCAAGATAGATCTTTAAATGTCCTTTTTGACAGTGAATGTGATACCATTCCTCTTATATCGGGCATTGTCCGCCTAGTAAAACATAATTTTCTGATTCAAAATGGTCGATACCAGTCCATGTGAATTCACTAATGCCTAGGATATTGATCTCAATGTAAAGAAAATAAAAATACCACTGGATCAATAAATGAGTAAACAGAGAAAAGATTGAACTTATTCAGAATTTCACCTTGCTCAGATCCATGATCAGTGATCATGGAAGCTGTAGTCAAGAGTTCAAATGATGCACTGCATTGAGTAAATATGCTGCACAAGAGGTCATTAAAGTGTTGAAAACCAAGCAGTTTACTTTGAGGACTCAGGTACACCTGGCCCAAGCCATGGCATTTCCATTCATCTCATATGTATTTGAGTCTTGAACATTGACTAACATGTTACTGAAGAAGAATCAATGCCTTTGAATTATGGTGCTGGTGAAGAATATTAAAAGTACCATGGGCTGCCAAAGAACAAACAAACAAATTTGTCTCAGAAGAAATAAAACTAAAATGTTCCTTAGAACTAAGGATGGTGAGACTTTGTCTCACATAGTTTGGACATGTCATCAGGAGAGATAAGTCCATGGAAAAAAGCATCATACTTTGGTAAAATGGAGGAGCAGCAAAAAAGAGGAAGACCCTTGACAAGATGGATTGACGCTGGCCAGTGCTTCATTCTGTTGTACTCAGGGTCTCTAGGAGTCGGAACTGAGTAGATGGCACCTAACAACAAGAACACGTAGATCAAGCCTCCATTGAATCTGTTCAGATTAATTAAGGATGTAGATAATCTTGTCCTCGGGCTGAGAGCATTGGAAAGTGCCCAGGGAGGGATAGTCTCTCTTAGGGCCTGCCGAGGTGTATTTTTGATGCAGATGTTAGTACTGGGGAATGCACAGTAAGTTACATGGTTGTGAGTCAGTGAAATTTTAACTTGGTTGGAAGGTGTGGTAGTTACATAATCTGCTGTCAATTTGAGACTTAAGAGTGAAGGGGTGGAGTCTAGCCTGTCAATCAGGTCACAGCTTGATGACCTCCTTTGGAGGCACTGAGGACTAAAATAGCTCCCTGGAGGTGGGACATACGCTCAGTCCCTGGGAGACATTCCAGCTGAGAAGACACATGGAGCTATGCTAGTGTCCTGAGCTGGAGGAGCCACGTAGAGCCCCCTGCCAGTGCTGAGATGCTTACACTGCCACTGGATGGATCCACAAGACTTTCTACCCAATAGCCTGTGATCTTCCTGCATTCAGCGTCATTTCATGTGTTTCATGAGTCTGAAAATGACTTATGGTATTGGACATACGGGCTAATATTGGACTTAAGGATTTGATCTGGACTGGGCTGGGATGTTTTCTCAATATTCAATTGCTTTTGTATATAAGTTCTTTGAGTGTCTATGAATTTGTTGCTCTAGTCTACCTAGACTAACACAGAAGGCTCTAGAGCAATTTATTTAAAAAAAAATCATTTTATCGGGGGTTCGTACAACTGTTATCACAATCCATACATACATCCATTGTGTCAAGCACATTTGTACATTTTTTGCCATCATCATTCTCAAAACATTTGCTTTCAACTTGAGCCCTTATCAGCTCATTTTTTCCCTTCTTCCCCTCCCCCACTCCCTCATAAACCCTTGATAATTTATAAATTATTATTTTGTCATGTCTTACATTGTCCGACGTCTCCTTTCACTCACTTTTCTGTTGTCCTTTCCCCAAGTTGGGGGTTATATGAAGATCCTTGTGATAGGTTCCCCCTTTCTACCTCACCTTCACTCCACTCTTCCGGTATTGCCACTTTCACCACTGTGCCTGAAGGATTCATCTGTCCTGAATTCCCTGTGTTTCCAGTTCCTATCTGTACCAGGGTACATCGTCTGGTCTAGCCAGATTTGTAAGGTAGAATTGGGATCATGACAGTGGGTGGGGAGGAAGCATTAAAAAACTAGAGGAAAGTTGTATGTTTCATCATTGCTACACTGCACCGTGACTGGTTCATCTCCTCCCTGTGACCCTTCTGTAAGGGCATGTCCAGTTGCCTACAGTCCCCACTCCGCACTTCCCTTCATTTACAATATGATTTTTTTTCTTTGATGCCAGATACTTCTGGACCAATTTTGTAAGTTCTATCTAATGAAGTACGAGTTCCAATCATGGTCCTGTTCCTCTTCTATAGTCCCACTTGCCACAAAGCATGTATTTGTGACCATTTCCTTTGTTCCATACCTTAACAGAATGGTGACTGCGGAACCTTGGATTCATGATAACTTTGTGCTAATGGCCTCAATCATCCAGATGATGGTTCTGTGTCTTTGTGCTGTTTTTGTCTCTTTTAAGATTAACCAATCTAAGTTATACTTGAAACTTAGGACTCTTTTGTACCCCAAAACAGCTATGAAAAAGATTGAACTTAAAATTGCAACAGAGTTGCAAAATTTCATTTGATGTTGTTCGATGTCTTTGAGTTGGAGCTGACTCAAGGGTGCCTTATGTACGAAAGAACAATGGTCCTGTGTCATGTTGTTATGTTTAAGTCCACTGGGGAAGCCACTGTGTCACTTCACCTGGTTGAGGGTAATCCTCTTTTTTGCTGACTTTCTACTTCACCAGGCATGATGTCCTCTTCCAGGGTCTGGCCCATCCTGTTAACATGTCCAAAGTATATGAGATGACGTTTTGACACCCTTACTTCTAAGGAGCATTCAAGTTGTGCTTCTTGCCAAGATAGATTTGTTCATCCTTGTCATTCCATATTCTTTACCAGTAGCATAACTCAAAGGCATTAATTCTTTGAGTTATGTCTAAATAAATATAAGTGGATATCTTTTAAAATGTTTAGAACTTTACATCAACTGAATTAACTATTAAATGTGGATTCATATTTTTGAAATAACATTTGAAATCAATTTGTAAATTCTCTTGCCTCATAAGAATTGTTAATCAGATACCCAAAACAATCACAGCCAATAGCAATGTAAATGACCTCTTTAGTCAAGGAAAGCCAAAAAAAAAAAAAAAAAAGAGAGAGAGAAAGAGAGAGAAAGAAATATTCTCTCAAATTCAAATTTTAGAGCAAAAATTAAAAATTGCATAAAGGGGATGAGCTAGTTTGTTTGGTGTTGCCCCCAAATAAACATATATGAGAGGTCTACCTAAGCTCATAAACAGATTCTAAAAAGTAGTTCTATCTTGTAGATTGGGAAAGATGCCTAACAGATAAGATTATCTATGTTTTACAGGTAGGGAAATCAATGACCTCTTGCATAGCCAAATTAGTTTTTATCAGATCCAGAGAATGCAGGTTTCCTAAATTTCCGTCCAAAACTTAACTTCGAACAACTAATAGCTGACCTTTTACCTACTTTGGCTAAACAGTTTCCAAGCGAGACTACTGCTTTCCGCCGCCAAAAAAAATCGATGCTGGTGCTTCTTTGAAAAGCAGCATCTGGAAGGGTCATGAAAAATTAAGTCTTGCAGGGAAACAAAAGCCTCAGAGACTGAAAGTGTAAACATCTGTCTTCTGTGATTTCACTACATTACCCCCACCCTCTGAGAAGGAAAAATAGACGCTTCCGCAAAACTGAACCACATATGAGATCAAAAGCAGCGATGAGAAGATAAAAGGGCAGGGAAATTTGAGTGCTTGAAATAGGCTAAACAGAACACAATTAAAGAGAATGTCCACCAACTAGGATAAAAAAGGTCAAATAGGCCCTTCACTTGCTGTGTAAACTTTCACCAAAGCTCCATAAACAGCAAAACAAAATTATCCAACCACTGAACTACAATCCCCACATTCTCTCTTAACACAGGTGGCAGAACCACCCAGAACTCTCGGCTCACCGGGTTCTCACACCCGCTCCTGCTTCCGCATTTGGGGGCGTGGCCCCAGAGTCCCGCCCCCTGGGCGGACCCGCCCCTCCAGCTAAGCGCCGGCTCAGAGCCGCTCTGTACTGCAGCCTCAGGTGCGGCCGAAAATTGAGGCGCGACTCTCTGACGTCTTGGCGCTTGGTTTCTGACGTATCCCAGACACACCTCCGTCTTCCGCCCCCCCGCCCCCCCACCCGAGGCATGGCGGCTCCGCCTCAGGCCCCGCCTCCTGACCCCCTCCGCGCCGAGTCCGCCCCTCCTTCGGCTTGAGCGCCTCAGCGGCTGAGGGGTTGTTGTCACGATTCTTGCTCTCGGGCTCTTCGCCTCGGTCGCGGGGGGCGCGGCCAAGCCCAGACTGGTCCGGCGACGCCGTCAGAGCCGGGCCCGCTGGTGGGCGATGGTGCGCCCGCGCGGGCGGCTACCGGCGGCGGGGCGGCGGGCATGAACGAGAATGGAAGGGGAGGATGAGGTGTCCCTGCGGGAGCAGCATTTCCACAGCCAAGTGCGGGAGTCCACGGTGAGTGCGATGCCCGCTTCGGCCCCAGCTCTGCGGCGGCCCTCGGTGCTCCGGGGACGGCACTCACCTCGCGGCACCCTCACCGTGCGGCCCGCGCCCCCGAGCCCAACGGCGGCCAGCGCTGCCCCTCTGCCGTCGCCCCCGTTCCTCGCCCCCTCGCCGTCGACCTCGAGCCCTGGCCTCGCGGCCCTCGCACCTCCGCGCGGCGGCCCCTTGCTCGCCATCGCGCCGCGACCGGCCGCCCCCTGCGTTCGCATCGCACCGTCGCCCACTCGCAGTTCTACCCCTCGCGGCCGCTTCTCCCTCGTAGCCTCCTTTCCTGGCCACCTGCCCTGACGGTCAAACGCCAGAGTGGCCCACACGCTCCCCCTCCCACCCCCCCACGCCGAGCCCAGCTTTTCTCCAACTGGTGTTGGTGGGATCCTGCCAGGCTCTCAGGTCATGGCAGGTCTGGTGTCCGTGCTCAACTGGCTGGCCAAATAGACAAGTCTTAATAATATTACTTGCCCCTGTGTAGGGATAGCTAATATTGGGCACAGAGTAAGTGCGAGAATCTGGTCTGACTGCCCTGGCAGGTATTTCCCCATTGAAACTGTTAGAGTCGTCGAACACTGCCCTTCTCTCCCCGTGGCACGTGGGTGCCCACCCCCTAACCATCTCCCTCCAATTTGTACTTTCCTTGAGTTTGAAATCTTTCCGTTTTGGAGGGAGAAGGCTGGTTATTTGGGAGACTTAGGACTTGGGAGCAAATCAGCTTTTTTTGGTTCAGGGTTTCATCTGTGTTGCGCACTGATCTTAGTCTGATTTCCTGTTTCCTTCTTTTCGTGGTGCTATATAATATGTCATACCTGTTTTTCTTTTTTTCATTACTGGGTACAATATTGTAATTACATTTATTTGTATATACTATTCTTCTCATCCAGCTACCTTCTCAGATTCATTTGCCTTCGCAGTTTGAGGTGAAAGCAGGCTGGTTTATATTTGCCTACTCTGTGTTGTTACCGTTCTTGAAAATTGAGGATTGGTTTGCCAAGCCACCCCCCCCCCCAAAAAAAACAAACTAGTTTATTGGGAGCTAATACAGATATCATACCAGTACATAGCCAAGTTATTCTTCGGAATAAACAGGAGATATAAAATAAATTGTGGGCTAGTAGAATACAACATATTTAGGATTTTAAGATCGGATCTAAAATATACAGAGAAGAGTACCTAAATGTCTAGCTCAAATTGTTTTGCAACTAAACTGTACACCTGCCTACCACCCACATAGGGAACTTCCCATAGCCTCACCTCTTGCCCGCTTCCAGTTACTCTCACTCCATAAAGAGGAACCACTATGTCCTGGCTTCTTACACCATAGATTAGTTTAGGTTTTTAAATAAATGGAATACTATATTATGTACTATTCCTGTTTCTGGCCATTATTTTGTTTTTCCCCTAACAACGTCTGTGAGTCTTCTTGGTTTTATATAGTTGAGATTCATTATCTGTGCCATAGTACTTAAGCGTGCGATTTTCCACAAATTATTTTCATTTTGTGGTTGCTGGTTGTTTCATTAGGTAGTTTCTCATTTTTTACTGTGGATGTTACTGTCTTTGGGGAACATAAGTATTCCTGTTGGGTATATACCGAGGAGTGAAATCACCAGGTTATAGGGATTGCATTTTGACATTATTTGTGATTGTTGTTAGTGGCCTTTGTGTCAATTGTGACTCACAATGACCCCATGTGAGCATGTTTTCAAAGCTGTGATCTTTGGGAAGCAGACTGCCAGGCCTGCCTTCTGCAGTGCTGCTGGGTGGTTTAAATCTGCCAACTTCGCAGTTAGTAGTTGAGTACATAAATATAAACGTTTGTCACCCAAAGAGGTTGTATCAGTTTACAGTCCCAACAGTACTGTATGAGAAGTCAGTTGCTACACATCCTTGCAAGCATTTGGAATTTTATTCTTTTATTTATTTTTTCCCTTTTAGAAAGTGTGTAGTGCATCCTACCAAGGGTTTAAATTTATATTTCCTTGATAGTGAATGAAATTGAGCACCGTTTCATAAGTTTGTTGGCCATTGGAGTATCTTTTGGGAAGTACTATCTTCAAGTCCTTCTCCCCGGCCCCTAACTATTTTATTGAGAGCTAATACAGATATCATATCATTTCATAGTTCAATCACATCAAGCAGTAATTGTTACCACAATCAGTTTCAAAACTTTCTCTTCTTGAACTCCTTGACATCAACTCCCTTTTACCACCATGCCCATCTTCAAGTCTTTTATCAACTTTTAATTGGCTTGTCTCTTTTATATATTGATTTGTAAGAGTTTGTCCTCTAGCCTCAATATGATTCCATTGTCAGATATGTGTATTGCAGTTATTTTTACCTACTTGCTGGTTTGGTTGCCCTGGTGAATATGCCATTGTACCTTTAACTGCAGTTCAGCAGTTTAAACTCACCAGCTGCTCTGTGGGAGAAGGCTGAGGCTATCTGCTCCCGTCAATATATTTACAGTCTTGGAGATCCTCTATAGGGTCGCCATGAATTAGAATTGACTTGATGACAGTGGTGAGTATGGTTTGATTGCCTTTTCATTCTTGTAATGATAAAAACCCCGTTATCTTTTAATCCTATTCTCCCCAGAGCTTTTTGAAGCCCCCTTGTATATACAAGTTTCCATTTTAATAATTTTTAAGTGTGTATTTCAGTGATACAAGTTTCCTTAATCATGCGCTGCCTCCTTCACCACTAGTTATTTTCATAACTTTGGTATTGTTTTCTATCTGTAGGCATTTACCCATTCTAGATATTTCATGTAAGTGGACTGCTGCATCTGACCCTTTATGTCTGCCTAATCATGCATTGGGCTGTGATCCAGAAAGTCAGCAGTTCGAAACCACTAGCTGCTCTGAGGGAGAAAGACAGGACTTTCTAATCCCTTAAAGTGTTACAGTCTTAGGTCATATATAAACTATAGGTGCATGAATGGATCTTGGGCTTGCACTTAATTCTAGCCACAATCGAAGACCAGTTAGTTCTTAGGACAAGGTCCGGCTTGATGCTCAACCTCCTGAAGAGAGCTCAATGATGAAGATATGGTGGTATAGCAAAGTGAGGTGAAGAAACCAGGTGGTGCCTGTCTGTCAGAAAGAATAGTATCTGGGATCTTGCTTTCAAGGCTTGCTTTCAGACAAGCAGCCATCTAAGTGAGACGTCAACTAAGCCCACATGGAAGAAGCACACCAATACTGGTATTCCAGGGATAGAAAATGATATAATCCAAATCAGAAGGAGTGAATGGCATCAGAGTTTAAATTGTGAATACTTGGTTTGCAGAAGCCTATGGGGGACAGTGGAAACCTAAAAATCCATTTTCAGGGTCCACCCATGAATGTAAGCCTCCACTGAATTCTCTCTGTTGACCCTAGTTGAGGGATGTGAATAGCCCTGTTAGAGAGCATTGTGAAATTGATTATTGCAGAGGTAATTAGGTTAAAATGCAATATCTTATCATTTGATCTCCCCTTTGACCCATTTTAAAGCGTTCAGTTTTTTTAAATGAAGGGAAAATACATGTGGATGAAGACCCTAGTGAGTCCTCTTTGACTGGACCTGGGATGTGACTAACCTTGCCAGCATGCAGCATGCATTAGAAAGTGGATGGCTGCAGAGGCAATATGAATAAAATTGAGCACCCTACCATTTGATTCTCCTTATGATCCATTTAAATATGTTCCAGTTCTTAATATTTTTTACTGTCTTTTCAGGTGTGATTTTTCTGTTTTGTTTTGTTATTGTTGTTATTTTTTTGTGTATATGAAATCCAGTATAGGTAAATGTATAGAGATAGTAACTGGATTAATGGTTCCTTGGGGGTATGACATGGAAGATTGGTGGAAATGGGGAGCTAATAATGAGTACAAGAATAAAGAAAATGTTCCTAAAACAAAAAATGAAGAAAATGTTACAAAATGGATTGTGGTGATGATTGTCCAACTCTTCTTTATGGGATTGAACTATTGAATTGTATGATATGTGAACTATATGCCAATAAAACTTAAAAAAAAGTTGCAGTCTCAAAAACTCAAGGGGCAGCTTTACTCTGTCCTATAGGGTTGTCATGAATCAGCGTCAACTCGCTGCATTGAGTTTGGTTTGGTTTTGGAATTTCACTTAGCCTAATATTTTCAAGGTTCGTTTATGTCATCACATGCACCAAAACGTGATTTCCCTTTAGGCTGAATGATACTACATAGTATGTATACAATGGTTAAGAGACAAAATTACTGCTATAAAGTCATAGAAACTGTTATTAAACAAACACATCAAAATGTGAAAGTGTTGTTTCTCAACATATGCTTAATCTGTATCTATATACTTTTAAAGGCAGTGTTTTCATCTCTTGAACCCTTCCTTGAAGGACTTTGTGTCCTTCAATTCATGGACACTTCATCAAAGTAGTAGTTTTGACTCCCTTGGGGGTCTCAAATTATATTTCTTTAAAGTGTTCTTTGAGTTTTGGGAACAGAAAGCATCTGAAGGGCTGAATCAGGGACGTAGGGTGGGTGAGTAATGCTTTCCAGTGATATTTTCACTGGGCAGCCCTGGCCGCTATACCCTCAGAGAAGGAGCAGGTGCACTGTCACTGTGATGGAAAACAATACTTTGGCAAAACTTTCTTGGCCTTTTCTCACCAATACAGGTTTTAATTTCCTCAAAACTTCTTCATAGGACACTGAAATCATCCTGTATTTTTTGACGGAACTTGTTTAGATTACCCTTTGGAATTCCGAAAAGAAGTTGCTACTTAACCTTCTGAGCTGACCTTTCTGCCTTGAATTTAACTGGCTCAGCAGATCCCCTTGAAAACCACTGTTCTGATTGGAGCTTACTCTCTAACTTATATTATTAAATTCAAGAATTGTACTTACAGCTATTCCATAAAATCCTACTTGTTAACTTAGTTCTTGCTTACATGATTTCTAGGAAGATCAGCTCTTTGAGCT